GCTCTTCATCTTGCCTGGCCAAGGCAGGTGAATTACTACTACCGTCAGGTTTATTGCCTCTCAATTCATTTTGACCATTCTCATAACTATCTCATACTAATCTTATTCTATTAGCAAGACAACACACTCCTTACACTATCAGATCAAAAATTTTCACTTTATATTGGCATGTACACATTTTAAAACTCGTTTGACTTCAGTTTAAGTCTAAAATCACCTAAACATGGTTCTGATACCATTAAATATAACACCCCAACCCGTACCCGACCCGGATACGAGTCTGAGGTGTCACATTGACTTTTCAAATAATTACATTTACGAAAGAATAAAGAATTTTAAATTTATTAAAATATTTGGTATAGAAAACATATCAGAGTATATACTTTTCAAATCTCTTAATTATATGCCAACTATATACATTAAACAAAATACATACTAATCATTTCTTTTCTGATCTTTGAAAAGGAGAGGCTAACCTGTCTTGCTCCTCTGTGCTCCTTACTCTCATCGAAACCTACGTGTGAAACATTCACACGCTAAATCTATGACTTAGTGAGAACAATGAATGCATGATTCATGCTATCATGTCATACAACCTCATATCCACTTTCATATTATAAATACATACATACACATATGTCATCATATCATATATGAGTGTTTACTATTTCATATTCTTATAATCATTTATTTTACGCCCTTTAGCTTATATCACATTCTACTATCATCATTTAAGTTGTTTTACTTACATAACTCCTAATCATATAATTCTTATCACAAATTCACATATTTTACCTACTATTTCCATATGTTTCTATTTAACATTTAACCCCTACATTCTTGTTACATATTCTATATCATATTCTTGTATACTAATTTATTATATTCTATTAATTCATTTTTCACATAATTTTGTTACATAAACATATATTTGCATAACTTATTGTTATTTGATTTACCCTGATGTGCTCATATGATTTGTCAGATCCTTATACTAAATTTCATATTACTTAAGAATTTAACAAGTTTTAGATCACAATTATATTTAAACGTACAGGCTTTCCTATACAACTTATCTAATATACTCTTATAATTATTCATATACATGTTCTCTAGTTAATATACTATCTATTTTATCTCAATCCTCACTAATCATATAGTCCACCACCTCATTATCTCTATGCATATACTTATAGAGTTCACTACATTTCTCATGTAATTACTTATAATAGATCATATAAGTTTATTATGTTCTCTTATATTCAATATATCATACAAACATATTTCACATAGAAACTATATCATATTCAATAAATGCAACCCATATACTCATATTCAAGTTCTCAATCACATATAACAATCATATTAAGTTTATTTCTATTATCTCTTTATTAGCCCATGTACACCTATGAGAACTTAAGGTATGCGAGTACTTTGAGGTTGTGCACACATATGCTGTCACCACAGTTCGTATAAGGGTCTATTGAGTGGCATGTGAAATCTATGTTCCGAAGGACCTATCCATATGTCCCGAAGAACATAAGTAACTGTCCATATATCCTGAAGGACATAGGTAAACTATCCATATGTCCCGAAGGACATAGGTAACCCTCAACTCTTGGCATTCCAACTATACCTATAGCTCTCATATCACATAACATGGGCATTCTCTTTCTTATCATTTCTCATATTCATATATACATATGGCTCACTTACACATATTACATATACTTTTCTTCATGTATATCATGGTTCTTTCACATAGCTCATTATCACATTCTCATATCATATATCTTATAATAGATTCTTATATCATCACTTGTTTCATTTATACACATTCATAATCACACTAACATGTACTCACACATATAATTTAACATATGCAATAATCAGTAACACACATGTATCATGTTAAACATATGCTCATATTAATGAATTCATACATTCTACTATAGGAAATAGACTTGTCACAAGTCTTCTTTCCATTACACATCATATAACTAATATACACTCACCTGGCCTCACTAGTCCCTATTGATCTCATATCTCTTCTCGATGACTATTACGTGTCAACTTATTTGGACTTTGCTCTCGATCGATATCTACACAATCATGAATACATATAAACATTCTAAATAGTATACTCTAATTTCTCATATCTTAAACTGAAGGAAGAATCTATTTTCATTCCCCTTTGAAGTGGTATCTGCACCCCTACAGGGTATCAATACTACCCCTAGTTGAGGTATCGGTATCAAAATTACATTCGATATTTCCCTGGTATCGATACCTCCCTTATGGTATCGGTACCACCTTCCCAGGTATCGATACCCTTTGAATGCCTTCGATATTTTAACTCTTGAGGTATCGGTACCTGATGAATGGGTATCGATACCCTTTGCCCAGAAATCACTTTTTAAGCCCGAAAATTACTTTATTTCAGCTCAAACACTTCATAACTTATCTCCTTTAATACCCTTAACTCAAGGATACATACTAAAAAAAAATTCCTTGACATTTAACACATCTTTATCCTCAAAATCTCATCCTCTATATGTAATTCAAGAATAATACCAAATTTTCTACTTGTTTTAATTTCAATTCTATCACTTCATATCTCTTAATTCAACCATTGAAAAGTCAATTTTAGTTTCAAATTCCACCTATTAACTCTTTTCCAAAATTTCATTTAAAAACTCCTAATCTTTAATCTCTTCTAACTCCTTCATTCTTTGATTTTAAGATGAGTTGAGCTTTCCTTAAGCTTAAGTATTATCCAAGGATCATAAAACAACCTTAAATTTAACAAATAAACAACTAATAAGGAACTCACCTTTGCCTTTGGGGTTCACGATAAAGAGGAAGAAAAATAAGAAGAGAGAGTTTTCTGGAGAAATCTCTCCTTAAGCTTATCCCCCACGTGTATATATCCTTACCATATCCCATTTTTTAATTCATTTCTAGGTTAAATAACCATTTTGCCCTTCCAATATTCCTTCTTTGATATTTAATCCTATACAAAATTTACAATATAAGTCCCAAACTATTCAATTTATTTACTTTGACCAACAAATTCTGAAATATTTCAATTTAGTCACTAACCCGGTATTGAGGATGTTACATCACTGGTCTAAAAGTTTTCAAAATTTAGATCATAAAACTTGGGATTTAAACTCCAATCCCCAATAACTATACCAAAATTGCTTAACTTCTTGTTAAATTTGGGGATTTTAGGGACTATCTCCCTAAGTTTTTCTTGCACACACTACTCATATAAGTGTAATACAATTTAAAAATAATCAATTTTAATAAAAAAATTGTAATTTAAAAATATAAATTTATTATAAACACAATTTCAGTTACTTCATTTTAAAGAAATTAGTTTTAAATTATTTTCTACAGAAATAAAATTTGTTTTGGTTAATCCACACTCTGATTTTTCATAAAATTTGATCTCGCTATTGTTTAAATGTAATAATTGAAAATAGGCACATTTGATTTATATTGTGTGTAGTTTTCATGCTACACTTCATGGTTGATCTATGTTATTTGATTATATTCGTATATGTGACCATTGATGCATTTAGTTATGATTGATATGATAAATATTAATTCAATTCTATATGGACATAGTTGATGGACGAGATTGTTGTTGAATACCTATTATATAATAGTAAATTTTAAGCTCATAAGGTTATACAGTTAGGCAACATATGTTGTTCAAGTGAGAGATTATTAGATTGAAATCCTTAACTATATATATATATATATATATATATATAATGTAAGATGCTATTATAAACTATAACATAAAATTAAGTGACCAATTATGTGGTACGTGGCATATATATTAAAGTGTCATAGAAATAAAAGTTTAAAAACTAAAAATTGTATTTATAATTCGATGAAGGGTATAATTATACATACTCATAATCTAATTTAATATTCATTTATATAAAGAGATAATGATCCCTAAAAAAATGTTAATTGGTATTACTCTTGTTCGATCATAGAGTTTTTACAACCACCATCTAGGAATCACTATCAATGAATTCATGTACGCTTACATAAATTTAATATCATATTTTAATTTTAACGATTTAACATAATTAAATCTTAATTTTTAATTTCATATTTATTATAATTTAATTCTATCATTACTATCTAATTAGAATAATCTATTTAATAATATTTAAAAAGAATTAAATGAGGCTACAACCTAACCGTTAACATTTTAAATTTTCATTCAAATCCAATTCATTAATATTTTCATTCGCACGAAGTTAGTAGTTTTAGTGGTAAATGAATTATTGTTATTCCTTAAAGAGTTAGGTTCGAGAACCATAGATGTCAAGGGTATGAGTCATTAATGTCGAAAGATTGAAAGTTATTTTTGAACATATACAGCTTTGTACTTACCATGTATTAATAATTTTTTTTATATTTTTTGGATTTCAGTATTTAGTGTAATATAGTATTTACAATGTTATTAATTTGAATATATATTTTAATTCAGTCTAAACTATTTAATTAACAATAAATTTATATCTTAATAAAATATTAAGATTATCACATCTTTATTTTAATAGGAACGATTAAAATGTTATTAATTTGAATTTAATAATAAAATTATAAAAGTAAATAAATAAATTTCATCAAATACAAAAATCCAACATAATTGATAGGCTAACATCAGAAGAAATCATTTCATCACGATGAACCCATAGGCCATATGATATCCACCTGTCTAATAGAATAAAATGTAGCATTTTCCATATCACAAATCTCCATTCAAGAGATCCAAATCAATTCTCAAAACATAAGTTTTATAATTATTAACAATTTGTTTTTAAAATAATGTTTCTTTTCAGAAATCTAATTATGCTCGTAAATGAAGGAACCGAAGAGAAAAAGAAAATGGCATTAACACTAAAATTGTAACAAAAAGTAATGAAAAAAGAGAGAGAGAATCCGTTTGTTTCTGAGAGTACAATAAAAAATCAAGAATTACTGCTACTTCCCTGTTGCCTTTGTCCTTCAACTTGAGCTTCTCCATGCTCTTCTTCTTCTTTGATCTCTTGGTGTGTCTCCTCCGCAGGCACCGTCGCAGGCCGCGGCGGAGGCGGTTCCATCGAGCCGTTGATGCAAGAAGAGCATTTCCTCTCGACCCAACCTTCAAAATCGTAGTGAACATGGCCCATGATGGGTCTACCCGAACATAATCGACCTATCATGCCAGCTATGACTCCGAGGATAGTGATCACTGCCAGTACGGCTATGACGGGTCCGACGGACCCGTGGCTCGTATTGGCCGTGTCGGCTTGTTGGCTCGCTCCTGTAGGTGGTGGCTGCAGCTGCTCTAAGGGTGTAGACATCACCAAATAATAATAATAATAAAAGGAACTTCCTTTGAAATATTAGTATATTTTGAAGATTGGTTTTTTGCAGGGTTTAATGTTTCTTAGTGGGTTCTTTTTGATTGGATCATGAAAATGAGCAAGAAAAAAAAAAAGGAGACAAAGAAGCGACAAATGGACCAATAAAGAAGATGAAAAGTTGAGAGGAAAAGGCATTCCGTTCCGTGTCGTTTGGTGTTAAATTGCTCATTGAACTTGGGATTGTGCTTCTACACTTTTCCTTAGGGATTCTAACAGGGATGGACATAGGTCGGGTTTCGGCTAACCCGACCTGATCCGAAAAGTTTACATCCTTCATCCGATCCGACTCGATTTAAAAAATATATATCTCTTATTCGATCTGATTTTTTGAGATAAAATAAAATCGATCCGATCCGAAATAATAAAAAATATTATTTTATTCAATAAAAATAGTAATTTAACCGCCACTTTCTTTTTCAAATATATATATTTTGATTTCATTATCGGAATCTGATTTATTAATAGATTATTTTGGATTATATTTTATAGAAATTCATGTGTACGATAAATTCAATTCAATTTTTTCTATTTGAGATCATTAAGATTTAAATTTCTAACTTTATTTAAAAACATTAGTGCTTTATCTTGTCAGATCATCTTATTGAAAAAGATAAAGTTTGACAAAGATGCATTATTTTCTATATAACTTATGTATGAAGTTATTCATTGATTATTTAATTAGGTCATGGTAAAGTTTTGAGTTAATTATTGAGTTATTTTGACTAACCAAATTAGTTTCTTATATAGGCTTACCTGTGTTACCTATGATGTATATGGATACTTTAGGGGGAAATGAATGCTTAGTAGTAGACTTGTCAATGTTAATTTCAACTCAAAATTTTACTCAATTCAACTTGATTCGAAAAAGAAACAAATGTAATATTTCAATTGAATTGTTGGAATAGGTGGTAGATCTATAACAGATAACTGAACCCAAACAATAACATAATGCAGAAAAAATGGTTTTCCAGGAAACAAAATTGCTATCAAAATAGCTAGCAAAACAAACAGTACTGAACTATACAACCTTGAATTATTGATAACATATTAAAGGCTAGACCGTGCATTTGGCTACTGAATCGTAATTTCCTAGTGCACTTTCGAGATGCAGAACTATTAGACCGGAGACAATGTGCCATCTATCAGCCCACCGGCGAAGTTATCCGCTTGCCTCGCCCCATGGTAAAACCCCTGGTTCCATCCGGCATTCTTGGACCCTTCATCATATGTTTCACCGATGTTTCGCATTGGACTGCATTGCTCGGTTGAGGATTCGAAGGAATAAAGCCGCGTCCACTGTTGGTTTGAAGGCGTCCCCAGCCCTTACCCCATCCCCTTTTCGGTCCCACACCATTATCCTCAACCTAGCAGAACAAGAACTTTTCATATAGCAGAACAGTCTAATATGCCATCATAGTGGGAATAGTTAAATAAATTTGAAACTTACATTGTTCTCAACTGATTCAGCATTGTTTGACAGAGAGGAATCTTCAGAGTAATCGGCAAACAACGAATCATCGCCGTCTAACATGCCATCAAATTCTGATTTTCTTGATTTCATAAGACTTTGGCTGCATGTTCATTTCATAGTAATAGTTGTAACTAAAGCATTTCAATCATGTATAAGCATGTAATATCATGAATATCTTAGTCAGACATACCGAGAGCCTAAGGCTAAGCAGCGGCCTTACTCGAAGCCCTTTTCGCCAATTGCGTTTGTCGTTTAACTTCTCGACCTGAAGTACACCAACATTTAAATTATAACTAGAAGTTGTGGCAATTACAGCAAGCATCACTGCATTAACATACCGCTTTCTCTGCAATTTCTTTCGATTCATACTCCACAAGAGTATATAGCTTCAAGAAGAAGAAAAAATTAATTATCAGCAGAGTTGTCTAAGAAAACTGGCTTCGAATTTCGATTCTAACACATGTACCTTGTTCGACTTGATGAAATCGATTCTAAACCGGGAAGAATTGAATTCCTGGGGACGACATATTCGGATGTTCTTCACACTGTATTAAGAACATCATTATTATGCACTGCGAACAAAAGACCTTAACATGAACAGACAATAAATTTAAGTAGAACTGATAATAGATTGACCTCCCAACGACATCGAAAATCTTGTCAAGGTTCTGGTGAGAGTGATCATCAGGCAAATTCTCGACAACGACGGTACGGGACTGCACTTCCTCTCTTTCTTTTTCGGTGAAAGGGTGTTTCCGTCGAACCTTCTTACCGTTGTCACTCACAACCTTTGAAGCACATAAACAAAAAAAGATGATGATTTGTGACCAAACTAAAGACGATAACTTTTTAATGGAACTCAAAGAACTTACAAGATTTGAAGAGAAGGTCAGTATTTGAGCCAATAACTGTTGGTTGGCTATGAGGGACTTGATTTTCTTTGTAGAAGCAATAAAGGATATTGGCACTAAAGCAAATCCATTAGCATTTGTGTTAAAAAAAACCTCTTTTGATTCAAAACATGAGAACTGCAAGTTTTCTTACCAAAACCTTCAGGATCTCTACTTATTTGCTTGGAGAAGGATTCGTTTGCTATAAGACTCATGTCACTCAACAGATATTCCACCTGTTGTTACACAGAATGTAAAGAGATACCAGAAACATCAAATACATTAAAAATGATGATGAAAATATGACCTGTTTGATGATTTCTTGACGTAGATCATTGTTGAGGACATTTCTCGAAGAAAAACTAGGCATTGGGATGGAGAGATTACGGTTACAAATCATGTAAGTAGCAGGTTCTTGGTCACCAAACCAGTCGGAAGCAGTAGCATCTGCACAATGATAATGGAACCAAGGGTAATAATAACCGGAAACTGGGATTTGGTTGTACAATGCAGGCACGAATTCTGGTGCATGTGCATTGAATCTGAACGACACTCCATTGCTGGTTCTGGCCGAAGGTGTAGCCATGGCATCTTTCATTTTCTTCTTTTCCTCAGGTTGTTGTGCTTGTGCCATATTTGTTTTTTTTCTTTTTTTTTTCTTTTTCTATATTTCATTCTGTTGGTTTGAAAGTTAAGATTTTGATGTAATCTCTCCTGAAGTTTGGTAACTGCATGCAGATAAGGATGAATCATCGGTTGGCGCCCAAATATGGGGGGAGAGAATTTCTACGCACATGACTTTTGCCTTTGCTTTGACCACTTCTTTTAGTTTTACTTTTATTTTACCTTTATTTTTTTTCATTATTAAAATCAATGAATCAAGGAGTTGACTTCATTTCCATAGAAAAGACTTTGCAACTTTAAATAATTTATCATATTAAATTTAAATTTTTTAATTTTTTATGCGTTTTTATATTTTATTTGGTTAAATTTTAAATAAATTAGTAATTAAAAATTTAAAGGTAGTATTTTTTGTAATAAAAGTTTTGTAATAAAAGTTTTTATATATTTAGCTAAGATGGTTACAAAATAGTATATATTTTAAATACTCTCAATTATTTGACAATAAACACTCAATCATCCTATTGCAAGCACTATTGCTCGAACCGTGACCTCAAGAAACAACAATGATTCATTTAACCACTAAAGTAGGTTGATTCATGCATTTTTTTTGTAATAACATCTAAAAATATGTGAATTCAAAAATACCTAGATAAATTAAAATACTTAGGATAAATTATTTTTTGTTTTTATTTTGATCATCGATTTTGAAATTTTTGAATTACCTAACTATTTAACTATTGTAATTAACTTTTAACGTAAGAGGTGACATAACTGCTAAATTGTTTTTTGAAAGAGGTAAAAACTTAATATAATTATACATGTAATTTTTAATGTTTACATATTATATTATATTAATTTTTATTTTAATTTAATTAAATAAATTTAATATCCAATTTGATTATGACATAGGTCACTTGTGATTGAAGAATAAATTATTAAAAAAAGTAAATTAATAATATCATTTGGGGTTTTTTTATTGGTTACACGGGAAAACTAGAAAACGACTAACTTACATTGAAGCCTATGGGGAAGGGACTCCTCTAATGTCAGCTTCCAAATAGGAGGATATCTCAGCTGGAAGAACAACCCATCTTTGGAAGAATATTTGCACAGAAGTTTTCCTCACGGTAGGCATGTTTGAAAGAGAGCCCAATTCTCGATGTCTTCTATGATGGCTCCCAAAGGATGTAAGGCAACATCTCCATTCTCGATAAGTTGTAGAACTATCCGAGCATCTACTTCACACTCAATAGCTCTGTAACCACAATCCCAAGCAATCGACAGACCGAGCCTTACTGCATGAAGCTCCGAGGCCACGCTTGTACAAATACCTAAGTGAGCAGTCAATCCCAGACCCCACGAACCTGTTTCATCACGGAAAATTCCACCTGCTCCTGAGATCTCCGGATTTCCTTGGGTATTCGGTGATTGATAGCTAACAGGCAGGGCCTAACATTTTAAGGGTCCTAGGCAAAATAAGAGATAAGGATCCTTAAAAAAATAATTTAAAATTCAAGTATAAATTTCGGTAAACGTCAAACAAATTTTTTCATTAAAAATTATAAGAGTAGATTCTATTACATTAACCAACATTATTTTACCAAATATATAAAGAGACATCACAATTTTTCACTCAATTTACTCCTATTATGTCTTCAATCGAAAATTGACGTCTCTCACCTACAAAACAACATATACAAATTCTCATAAGAAACGATTTTTTTTCTAGCATTTTGAGATGCAAAGTCATTGATAATAACATCAACATCAATGTTTCCTATCATCTCCTTCTCAATAGCTAATGTTGCTAAACCATTCAACCTTTCTTGTGACATTGATGACCTCAAGTACGTTTTTATTAATTTAAGCTTTGAGAAAATTCTTTCGGCTGAAGCTACGGTCACAGGAACAATTAATAAAATCGTATAAGCAATTGAAGCATTCGGATAGCAATCTGTAGATTTGACAAATTTAAGAATTTCAGTGGCGGATAATAATTCTGTCGGCAAAGTCATTTGTAAAATTTCAATTCAGAGAAAAGATCATCTAAGTCAACATCCGATGAATTGCCATGAGAAAAGGTGGAATGAAAATGAGAACAACATTCTTTCAACTCATTATCATCTAATGACTTTAACTTATTTGAATCATATAAAAATCCAAAAATACTTTCAAATGTCTTCAATTGCTCAAATCTATTCTTCAAAGAAGTAATTGTCATATCTACCACAACCAAAAATATAATCGACTCTAAATGACTCTTCAGGCGATTCAACTTCGTTATCCTCATTATTCTCTCCAAAAAATATCTTCCTAATCACACGACGTTTTGTGGGAAAAATAGGCTCCACATCCATTTCAAGTGCAAGACTTTTAGCTACATTCATACTAGTTGTAAAGCCTTCATCTCTATATTTTTCAAAGTAAGACATCACACCTTCTAATTGCCTTATGGTAGTATCAATGCACGTAGACTTAGATTTTAATTTCTTGCTTACCATATTAACAACAAATAAAATGGCATACCAAATCACAACACCAAGCAAAAACTCAAAACTTGAGAGTGCATTCACCAAACTTTCAACTTCACTTTTTGACTTTGCATCATTTTCACAAGATTCATATAAATCACACAAAGCCAATCTTATTTGGGGACATTGAAATCTAATAGCTTTGACACTTTTAATTCGACTCTCCCATCGAGTATTTGATAAATATTTCACAGTTAATCCAGGAATATTATCAAGTAAAATTTTCCATCTCTTTGTAGAACCCGAAAACAATGCATATATGCGTTAAACAACTCCAAAAAAAGAAATAGCTTTAACACAAGAATGTGCCATATCACCAAGAGTGAGATTTAGACTATGACAAGCACAAGGCATGTATAATGCTTTTGGATTAATTTCAAGAATTGTTTTTGAACACCTTGGTGCTTTCCTTTCATATTAGAACCATTATCATAACTTGTCCCCTCACATCATCAACATTAAGATCAAGAGACTTCAAAACATTTTGTAGTTCATTAAAGAGTCCTAATCCAGATGTATCATCCACTTTTAGAAACTCCAAAAAGAACTCCTCAATTTTAACTTTGTTATTTAATATATTAACACATCGAACTATGAATGTAATTTGTTTGATGGCTCACATCAGGCGTACAATCAAGAATTATGGAAAAGTATTTAGCCTCTTTAATGATCTTAATGATAGAATTTCTCACACTTTGAGACAAAAGGGAAATAAACTCATTTTAAATTTTATGTCCAAGATAATGATAATGAATTTCACGATACTGAATGCGTATAACATGATCTTGCATAATCACATCAAACTCTGCAATCATTTCAATCACATCCTCAAAATGCAAGATTCTGTTTAGCAAGACATTTCACAACAGAGAATATTCTTTGTAACACTTGTCTCCAACGGTCTTTCTCTTTCATAATCTCTTCTTGCAAATTTTTATCGATTGTTTGATTTTTATCCAATCTTACTCTCAATTCATTCCAAGTATTCATATTAGTCATATGTTCAACACTATTTTCATGTTGTTTAAGCCTTTGACTAATATGTTTCCAATCACTTAAGCCATCATTTCCAAACAAACTTACATTACTAATCGATTTGAACAACTTGCAACAAAAACAATATACTTTGTCACCATTTTTGGAATAAAATAACCATTTTCTATCACTAGTCTCACCATTGCTCAGCTTTTCTAGAATAACATGCATATGAGAAATGTCTATAATATTCATCAACAGGAAATTCAAGATCCATTTCTCTTATGGGGTATTTTTCAACTAATATATCTCTCGCATTATTGTTAAGATTCTCCTAATTTATAGGATCATATATATTCAAATGACGAAGTATTTCTTCACCAATGCCTAAATTTTCAACATTTTCATCCATTGGCACATCATTAAAGTCAATTGGATCATTCACTTCATCATTCACATTTTCATAATTTCCAGGATTTTCAGTCAGTTGATTGATTCAAAGTTTCATGAGAATCAGCCTTTTTAAACACAAATTTATCAAGAGCACCTTTTTGTGACTTCTTTAACTCCTTCTCTCGCTTCCTTTTTTTCTTTTTTCACTTCCAGACAAATGTTTTTTAGACAACATCTCATCAAAGAGTCAAACACAAACCAATTCTAATAAATAAGTATAAGAAAAGAACAATTGCACCTGGATTCTTCAATTAGAATTGTAACCCATTGGAGTAAGATAAAATCTCAAATTTCCAATTTGATAATTGACATTGTTGACATAAATATTTATAGTTATAATATGAACACCAAAATAAAACATCAAATAAGAGTCTAAATAACTATTGTATACATTTTTTTCTCAAAAAAATCTACTGTGCAAAATAGGTATGTGATAATTACTTTAAAATTTAAAATTTAAATTATAAATTTGTACAGAATTTGAGAATTACAATTTGTACCATAGACAAAACATATACAGAAATACAAAATTACTATAGATAAAACAAATTTACAGAATTATTAGACATCATTGTAAATTTGTAGAATTTTTTAAATCAAGAATATTATTATAATTATAAATTATAAGTTATGTTTTAATAATTAAAAATAGGAAAGAGGAGGGAGAAACAATCATGCATTCTAATTTCTCAATTAGGCCAGTTCGCAATCTCCAATTGCCCTCCGCAAGACCACGAGTCGAAAAAATTAGAATAGTAAATAAGGAATCAATTGATTGAAACGACGAGATTGGTGTACCAAAAATCTAGCACAATAAAAGAAAACAAAGTTAATAATAAAGAGAAAAAAGTATCAAGATTCTAACACCACAATCAATATATATATACTAACCTCGAGCATAAGATTATTTTAAATTGTAATTATTGTAATAGCAGTGGAAATAAGAAAAATCTGAGTTGCAGTACAGCTTTTATGAGAATAAAAGGCTCCTAACCGTTGCATAATATACATGGGGAAGAAAAGAACAATTAATAACAAGCAAAATATACACAGGGAAGAAAAGAGCAATTAATAATTAGCATGGGGAACAAAAAAGCAATTAGTAATTAACATTGGGAATAAGATAAATTTAATAAAGTGTATAACTTTTATCATAATAAAACAATAGACTA